ATATTTTGAAGGAAAATTATGGGTGAAATGACTATTAACAGAGAGACTAGTTTACATTTGGGTGGTCATGCGGATAGTATGCATGAGAGATCGCAATTTAGAAACAGGTTTTCGAGGTATGGCAAAGGTTGTGTTTTTTCCAGGGAATTCTAATTGATATTTCTGTTTTTATCATTATTTTTTATATATACTTTCCTGTTGGGATTATCGTAATTATTGTTGTTATCACTGTTATCATTATTATTATCATAACTATTATCATTATCATTATCAATACCATCATTATTATCATCACTATCAGTTAGCATTACCTACACCAAAAGGACAGGTTGTTTCATACTTTATCATTTTGTCAGATGGACATGGACAAATTTACCTACATATTTTGAAGGAAAATTATGGGTGAAATGACTATTAACAGAGAGACTAGTTTACATTTGGGTGGTCATGCGGATAGTATGCATGAGAGATCGCAATTTAGAAACAGGTTTTCGAGGTATGGCAAAGGTTGTGTTTTTTCCAGGGAATTCTAATTGAGATTTCTGTTTTTATCATTATTTTTTATATATACTTTCCTGTTGGGATTATCGTAATTATTGTTGTTACTCTCGTTATAACAAATGTCGATAATATTAATGGCATTATTATTAGCGGTGTTATATCATTACATTATTATCGTTATTATGATCATTACCATTATTATCTGCTTTTATTATTATGTCAATAATTCAATTGGTAATGACGCTAAGATAACCATAACTATAATGATGGTGATGGTGATAATTATTTCAGTTTTATAAATATCATCTTTAATATAATGGTTACTGTTATTGATTCTTTAATTCCGTAACAATAATAATCCTTTCAGTGCAAATTTTATAACTTTTATTATTGCTATTATCATTCGCGTACCGAAAATTGTAGGAAATTATTGACTATGAAAGCCAAACAGTTTAAGTATTGAGTACTCATATTCAGTTGAATCCAGCTCAATACTCTCAACTGCTACATCATTTTCCTTCCCTCCTCATTTAACACCATCTCCCCTTCTACATTCCTCCTATAACTGCCTCCTTTCCCTAAATGCATCACCCTCCCCCTTTCCTCTAACCTCAGACCTCCTCCCCCTTCCCCAACATCTCTTAATCTCCTTCCCTCCTTCAATAACCCCAATTCCCTATCCCCCATGAGGACCTTGAACCGCCCCCTGTCACCTCCCCCCCTCCCCTCTCTCTCGCTCTCTCCTTCATTTCAAAGAGGACACCTCATCTGGGTTCCCCTCCGTCGGGAGTCCATCACCACCTTCCCATCTCCGACCCGCTCCCGAGATCCTGTGCCTCGATGCCCTTGCGTGACCGCTCAATACGGCCAGCGTGTTAGGGTGCCCATGTGTTGAATACTAATCACAGCTTAACCGCTTCGCCTCCGCACACCTCACGAATCACGGCTGGTTAGTCATGCGGGCGAAGTGTGCAGTTATCCTCATATATATTTTTTATTCATTTATTGTGTCACCATCTCAAGGAATCCAAAAATGATGTCACCTTCCCGCTATGCAATGGTATTTCATGAATTGCTATTAGGTTCCTTTTTTTATACTTGTGATCCCTTATCTCTGTTAGTTGCATTTGTCTCAAGGGTTTCGGATGCAGTTTCAAAAAAGGGGTCACTCGCATCGAACATCAACACTTAATCAATGTCGGGCAGAATTTATTTGAGTCAGAGGTAAAATCTCCAGCTTCTTTGATAAACGACCTTAATCTACATTTGCTCTTGCGGTTTATAAAGTGTGTAAAGGCGGCAGACCTAAATTTTCGAGTTGAGTTCCCTCAGGAAAAAAAATCATATTGGAACTCTCTTCTTACTCTGTTGAATGTTTGTGTTTTGACAGCGCAAGGTAGGGTCAGTGATGAATGCATGAATGTAAAATGCAATTAAATAAATAACAGATAGGCTACTGCAGATTATAATTTTTTTTAATGTAAAAAGAAAGATTTGGAAATTAATTTATGTACATGTTAGCTTATATTAGTTTAGATGATTACTTATTCATTATAAAAAAACTAGAGATCTGCATATGCTTAAGTATAGGCGCACGTGCTAATTAATTATGCACACACACACACACTTGCAACGCACGCACGCACGCGCGCGCGCACACACACACACACACACACACACACACACACACACACACACACACACACACACACACACACACACATACATACACACATACACACGTACTCACGAGCGCGCGCGCACACATAAAAAACCCACGAATACACAATTCTAGCGTATGACATTAGCTTGATCACAGAACAAGATAATTCGCTTGTTTCGCTGCATTTCTTAAATTTTATGTCTAATCAATAGAGTACGCTTCGTTATATTGCAGTATGATGAGAGCTAGATTAACGTGCTTTATATACAGAACATTTTAAACTCGTATAAATGATATCCATGATATTACCTTTTATTGGTTATATATAAATCTGACTGCTTTATAGTTTTACGCGATTCTTTCAGTCACATGCACAATATTTATTTATAATAACTGTTCGATTCCACGATTATTATTTTACATGTAATAATTTCTTCTATTACATCATCCTCTGACCTACAGATTATTCACCTAATTTTCTAATTTGCATAATGAATAGTTATCTAATGATGTCTCGTCATAAGAAAAATCGCTGTCCCGAATGATTTTCTCATTTTTAATCACATGCTGTTGCACCATCGCAGAGAAATCACATGACGTTATCCTGTAATGCAAGTCTGTCTCATCATCCACCTAAATTCCCTTCAACAATTCTAAACGATTGGGCAATCTTATTAGTCTTCAGGGAGAATATAAAAAAAACGGAGACAGATAAGGTAGGATACAGGTAAGGAGAGGAATCAGAGGACAAGAATCTCGCACAGGATGTTGAGTGGCGAGGCAGGGACGAGACGTATCGTATAGCTGCCAGAACCTGAAGATGATACGCGATGCTACACGCTCCTTCTTGACCGCACTGCCTCATACCGCTGTCACAATACCTTATGCTCTGACGCGGACTTACATCACAGACCTTTTCCTTTTCTCATTCCGACTTCTATTCGTCTCTTATTCACTTTTTTCCCTGTTCCTCGTCGCCTATTTAACATCCATTGCCTCTTTTCTCGACGGCAGGGATGGGGAGTCATATAGAATATCATACGTATTGCCTGTGACCTCCGACACACCTGCTTAGTAAAGATCAAGATGGAATCAGAATACCCACGTCATTTTATATGTATATTTTGAAAAGCCACCAGGAATTTGAATTGTATATTAGGAAGATATTGAAGAATTACTTTGTTATGCATTTATTCATTGTTAAACGAGGGTTGAGAAAGATCGTACTGAAGAACGCAAGGGCTCTATTGCCGACTGAAAAGTAGTAAGGCTACTTAAGTTTTGGTTTACGTAATCATTACATCATCAGTCTGTACAGTGACGAAAGTTGCCTGAAAGTCGGTTCCAAGCCGCGTACGTGACAAACCCTTGTTCGTGGCGAGCGTCCTCACCCGCGGATTAGACAAATCTCACAGCCTATGAGATGGAGGATTGAAAGGGAGGCTCATATTCCCATCTACTGAATTATCTATCTTCCTTTACATACTGCTGCACAAGCCTCGCTTTTGGGATAACGATCTGTTATGCCAGTGATCTGTGGTTCACGTATCACCTTACAGCCGAGGCAGACGGCCCATTGTCACGTGTCACGAACTAGTCACCAGCAGCCTTCCCCCCCCCCTCCATCTGCTCGCTCAACCACAGCATCCTCCGGACATTGAAACGTAGGAATAACATGCACTGGCAGGGTATTTCAAATTGCAAAACTGTTTGACAGGACCTCTGCGTTAAGGATCAAGGTAATGCACTCCCACATCTTTCCGACCCGTAGGCAGGGCTCCAAAGGGGAACTTTTAAGCGAGGGCGAGGGAGGGAAGGCGGCGTGGAATCATGGCCACGTGAGACTCGGTGCAGCGGAGGACCCGGCCGCGCGTGCCTCAGTAAGCAGCGCCTCCTTCATTACGGTGCCACGCCCGCGCTCCTACGTGTCCTGCCGCTGTACCTGGTGTCTCGTGAGGCATCTCCCGCCCATGTATTCTTGGGGATAAGCTACGCGTGTGTTTTCTTTCCTTTCGTGATTGGAAACTCGGTTACCGATAGCAGTTTATCATACGCGGGTGTGCGCATATTGCGGCGCAGTGTAACCTACAAGTCATCATGGAGGTTGGCGTCGGCCAAGATGCTAATGGTGGCCGCGACTACCCTCTGGAACTCTGCGATGTGTAGTACTCTCTAAGGTGAACGCGTATATATTAGTGCTTGTGAGACGTGAAATGTTACCTAAAGTCTGATTCGGTGAATATATAATTTGGCTGAAAAAATACAACGTTAGTGTATACTATGCATAATATGTAAACTATTTATAGATTTTCTTCAACGCGTAAGTAAACTAAATTAAATATTTTGATGAGATGACTGCAAGAATAACTAATTGCACTAAGTGGAGAAAATTATGTATGGAATTTCATAGTTTTTAATATAAAATCAGATAAAAAAATAGAATCATTATTTCGCGAAGGTAATTTTTCTTTTCACTGCATAAATATAGGGCTGGAATAGGCCTTAAATTAATACTGACTGTCAAAAAGTGGTAATTTGACTTAATAGATGTCACTTAACTTAATATGACTTGTATCAGTTTATAATGAATGTCATTCTTGGCCATGAATTTACCATAGACTTAATAGATGTCACTATGACTTGTATCAATTTATATTGAATGTCATTCTTAGTCATGAATTTACCATACACTCAATAGATGTCACTATGACTTATATCAATTTATAATGGATGTCATTCTTGGCCATGAATTCTTTTATGAATGTCTCCTGTTGAGATGTCTACTTGAAGTATGTGCAGAGGCAGTAATCCAATGTCTTGTACGTTCCAGCGACTTGCCTGGCTATAGGACATGGATCATAATATTTAGGTTCAATGAACTCCCATGAAAAAGTAGACTCCTTGTAGATCGGTCTTTTCTTGTCAAATAAGGACTAGAAAACGTCCGGTTCGAGAGAAAGAAAAAACAAATCTAATTGCGAGACACTTAGAGAAACACTGAAGGATGGTGCCGGAAGCGCTGCTGTCTGGAATGATGCTCATGTGCGTCATGATCGTGTGCCTGTGGACCAACTGCAACAAAAGAGCGGTACTCGCAGAGGGTCAGTTCACCGTCCCTGGGAAAACCTTCGCGGTCTAGCGCGTTGGAGGTGGAGGTGGATCTCCAAGGGAAGCTCCAGTTCGTTTGGTGACTGAAACTGTGATCGTGGAGTGAGTTTCAGTAGCCATTGGTAGAGTCGGAATATTTCGTTTCAGCACGCTGGAAGTTTGTAACATAAGATTACTGTATAATCTGATTTCTTGTTGAAAACAGGGAAAGTGAAAGGAGTGAAAGTGACAAAACGTTTAGATTTGTAATCTGAAACGTTTCGCATGATCATAACAAACATTAGCGAAGCGCAATACCAAGTTATAAATTAGGACCAACAGTTACATCACAGCCACAAAACCAACATTTCACACATTCCAATGACACAAATTAGTAAATCCTTCTGACCACTGAGTAAACAATCATTGGGTTTTTTGCCGTCATTGCCACACGAAGCCAGAGTCGTAGAACCCTCGACGATCTCCTAGTTCGGGGTCTCTCTCTCGACGTCACTGCAGACGAACCGCACGGACATCATGCTTGCTGAGTTGGTCCTAACCGGAGTCTTCGGCGCCGCGTTCTACCTCATCCTGGACCAGATGAGGCTGCTGAAAGACCCGGTCGTTGTGGTCGTTAGGGATGCCCGAGACCCCGAGGGAGAGCAGCAAGGGGCATCAGACAAGAAGGAAAAGAAAGACGCAAAGACTCCTGCCAAGAGGACCCCGGACGCCGCCAGAAAAGAGGACTGACGGATTCTCGGGCGGTTCATGCATGGCTTCTGACTGGAGTGCGACTCATAGGTGGCCTGAAGGATTCGTGTGGCTCAGTAGGATTAAAATAGCATAAAAAGGGCAACATAGAGTAGTTGCATGAGTTAGCCTCGGCCTCAGTAGTTTTGTAGCACATTAGCCTTCGCTTCGATTTCGTTTTACAACATAGCGACTGTTAGACTGATAATAGCAATATAGTGACGCGCTTATATAGTAGGCTTAAAACAACCGTATGGTTATAAATAATAGATACAAGTAAGCACGTTAATAAGGTATACATCTTTCTCTAGGCTTCATCTTAGACCATTGCATAGAAGGGCAGCCAATCACCTAGCTCACACAAAACGAAAAAAAAGTAACCAGACTGGTATCAAGCAATAACAAGCAATCACGGTGCTCGAGGGGGCAGTTCACACAATTGACAAATCACCTGACAAATTACCAAATTTTCCGAAAGAGACCGGAGCTTTGTTAGGAACCGCATGGAGCTTAGCCTCTCTTATTTCTTTCTAGAACCAGTAACATCTCTGGGTTTGGGGTTAACCTGTGCTGAATAGCGGGAGAAATTATGAAAGCACATTTTCTCTGCATTAAAGAATCTATAAACGAATGAGTTAAGTATATCAAAGAAAGAGATCCCAATATCATAAAACACCGACAAGAGGGTTAGATCCCCCAGGCCTGGATAATAGACATACAACGGTTAGTAAAACAAGATGATCCGGAGAAGAGGACCAGAAGAGGGCGGTTATTACCTTAAGAAACTACAAGACGAAGAGGATTCACAGAGCAATAATGGCGGTAAGTTATTTTGCAGAACTGGACTTACGAAGAACTGCAGTGCCAAATTATAAATACATTATTATAAAAGCATGTATTTGTGATTATTTATTGTATTATCTTTTACTATCTCTGCATCGTAAGCATCACCATTATCACTATTAACTATCATTGCTGTAACCATAATCACTGCCATAATCATCAAAGACATCATTATGACATGCATCACCACAATAACGACCATTCAAACCATTACATTTTAACCTTATCATAGCAAGAAAGATAAAACAGAGATGAATATATAAATAAACGGATAAAATTAATACAAAGATTCCTTCCAAAGAAAACGTTAAACGCTCGATTCAAGGAGAGACTATTATATCCTACATTTTCCTTCCAGAGGTGCCGGAGATGACGGAGAGGCTCTTCAAAGTGATCATTATCGGGGATCCTACGGTGGGCAAGACATCCTTCGTGCAACGCTACGTGCAAGATTCCTTCAGGAGGGACTACAAGGGAACAGTCGGAGTCGATTTCGCGCTCAAGATCCTAAAATGGTCCGATTCTGAGACGATAAAGTTGCAGCTCTGGGATATTGCAGGTGGGCGCTAGTATGCGGTGAGATTATGAGTATGTTTAGGAATCTATCCATTTCCATGCCTTTAGCTCTCTCTCTCTCTCTCTCTCTCTCTCTCTCT